AAAACAAAACAACAACAAAAAAGCCGCCCGCGCTTGGCGCTCAGCTCGTCACGATGGGGATGGGTAGGGGGGGGGGGGGGTTAGATGCTTGTGCGCGCGCGTTTATCTTTCGGTGGGGAGAATAAGCGCGTGCCTTCCGCTTTCACAGGAACGATTGCGTTAGTTGCCGGCCCCACAAAGGTCACGAATACGCTCCGCTGCATTGGCTCTGTTTAGGAAAAGAGGGCGCTTTTCAAACACAGCGAAGTATAACAACTGAGGCATTCATTAGTTTGCACTCATCAGTACTTGTAATTACGTTTAGTGCGTCGTTTTTGTTTAAACAGCGCTTTAAGTGTCGAGCGGTAAGCGTTGTTAGTTCGCTTTCGCCCCCCCCCCCTCCCTCCACCCATTGCCTACCGTGCTGGCAGCTCTCGTGCTAGTCATTAGTATTTGTGTGTGCCTGTCCCATTTTCTGCAATCTCGGCAATCAGTGTACCAGTTTCAGGTTCAAAGAAGCTTATCCAGTTAACCCAGTGCTACTATTTCGACTGGAGCGGCAAGGTATATCTCGATGAGCACCGAGTACTGGTCAGAATTTTTACTAATCAGGTGCTTGACAGGGATACACATCAATATCTGTTTTGAAATTACAATGTGTGTTTGAGAGTGTGGGCAGTTAATAGCTAATTAGAACATTCTTGGTAATTAGTGAATCCTTATATCTATTCTTGCTGCTAATGCCTGCATTAGATGTGTAGAATATTGGTACATAGTAATTCTGGAGGGGGTGTGTGGCTCAGGTGAATATCATAGTTACTTTAACATATAAAACATAAAAAAGAAACACCACCAGTTATAAAGTGTGGCCAGTGATTAAAACAAAACGTTGACCCAAATTTGACATAAAGGCTTTATTTCCTTGAGATTGTCGTACAAAAGGCCCTACATTTCCTCTCCATTCTGGGCTGCTGGCTAAACTGCCATTCTGTTGTAACTTATTTAGGCAGTTATAAAGCTTTTCTGTTGTTTTTTGCCCCAACAGTTTTAGTGTACTTTCGTTGCTTTCAAGAAGGATCAGTAAGCATTGCATCAGTGTTTCTTCATATGAAAAAGTGGGGAATCACGGCAACGCATGATATATGTATGGTACCGGAATTCAGAGGAAACCAAATGTTACTTAGGATGCTTAACACGTCAACCTTGAACAAAAAATTGCAGCCTACTATAGTTACAGAAACATGAGGTTGGACACTAGCTAGCTTGCTATGGTGTTTAATCGGCATAAATTTTCTTATGAAAACTATGGCAGCATGGCAATGTGCGAAGAGTCTTGCATACAATAAATACGTAGAGATGAATGATTGAGATACCTTTATTTACAAGAGAACAGTGTGCCAATTGTCAAAACACTCAAAACAGACAATCACCCCATATGTACAGGTTCAGCAGTTGGTGTTGAGATGTAGCACAACCGTTTTCAGGTCATGATAAATGAGTGTTTTAGGAAATCTGCAGAGAAAGAAAATCGGGAAAGCATGGAAGTGCTAGCTATTTATGTGCATGGGTTTGGCACGTAAATGTGTGTAGGAGACAAAGCTTTCTAAACTTGGAAAAGGTTAACAAAAGTCGCATAGTAGCAGGGAAATTTAAACATTTTTACACTACCATCATATAACTCAAACCTCATTATAACAAAGTTGCATCTTGCTATAAAATAAGTTTGTTATATCCCAAAATCAGTTATAATGGTTATTCCTAATGCTGTATTTATTGCAAGAGTAATTTCAGTTACTTCATTAGAACCAATTTTTTCATTAAACTTGTGTTTGTTATGCTGAGGTTTGAGTGCATCTCAACGCAAGGAAGAAGCGTCCAAGTATGGCAGGGTAGGTACAATATTTCAAGGCACAATAAAAAAGGTGACTACAGGGACTCATGGTATGAAAAGTTTCGGAAACGGTAGTTAAGAAAGGAATGCTCAAGAAACAGTGACTTTCCAGAATAGAAACTGCGCCTGCTAAAAATAGGGTTGTTAGGAAACATTCTTACATCACAGGTTTGATTAAAACTTTCAGACTCGTACCCATTAGCATACTCTTTTAAGGGTACCTTACAAACATGCACGCTCATTCATACTTTATAAGTCAAACAGCTATTATACAGAACTCGATGCAAACATACACCCTGCCACAGTGTGAACACACAAATCGAACAGAGACAAGCTTATTTTCAAGCAGCTGAGCTTTTACAATCTGACAATTTCAGTCCACAAAACAGGGGTGGTGCCAGTGGGAGGCAGGGAAGCCTGGAGCCCCCCCAAGAGGGAACATAGTCACAACACAATGCACAAGTTCCCTGCCTCCCTTGAATAAACTCAATTGTCGTGTGTGCTCACTTGTTAGAGGAATCCTGGCACCACCCCTGCAAAGAAAATGCTAGTGCCAGCAAAATCTGAAGAATTTATGCTTTTCTCTCCGATCCATCAGTAAGAGAGATTTTTTTTTCTTGTTTTTCAAGTGTGCAAATATGAAATTGCTGCTTGTGGTTTAGGCACAGAGAGAAATTGAATTGAAAAGTGACACGCTATAGCTTCTGAAGTTTAAACAAAGTCATTCTAGTCAACTGTCGACAGGCGAGTCCCGGTGAGGCTGTACATTTAGAAAAGTTGTTATTAAATCGTGAGGTGCATTATGAACACGACACAAATGTTGGTGTACATGTGCATTGTAAATGGCAGTGTTAGGAAATAATGTCATAAGTCTAGTTCATTGCCTTGGCTGTCATATGCGGCATAGAGTATGTTGGTTCTCTTATAACAATGCTCATCTAGTTTTGCTGACGGCTCTGAAGGAACCTTGTTAAAATATTCTCAACACTCTAGACGTTTAGAAGAACATTGCATACATATTAGTAAACCTAGTGTAATCGCGTTATAATGAAGTATCCTATAATAAACATCTTAATCACATCTGGTTTTACGAAGTTGAACAATTTCAATAGCAAAAAATGAATGCAATTGACTCTATACGATAGAAGGAATAACATATCAACACCGTAAGCACATTACTGTTTCTGCAAGTTTTATGGAAAAACCGGAATATTTACGACAACAGTATGATTGCCCTAAGATGCGCATCAAGTTATGTCCTTGTGGCAAATTGCACTACTGTGGAACTTCTATATCAGGCCTTGTTTATATCCATAGAAAACTTTTGTATAATATGAATTTATTCTATTCTGTCTGATAATTCTTGGCATTCAAAAATTCATTATAAGTGTGCTTGTTATATTGAGGCGCCTCTGTATGACTGCATACTGTCGTCAGCCAGCAGACTTTGTAGTGAATGAGCGGGTTATATATCTATGCACACGTGAAGGCACTCTTTAATGCCCATAACATGTGCATATATGTAAAAAATAAACATATATTTATATATAACTTATTAAAGGAAACATGTACGAGTTGGAAGTATCTCAATGGCTAGAGGTAAAAAAAAAAATGAGATAGTTAAAAAATGAGATAGTTTACTTGCATCCAGACTTGATAGAAGGTCCTGATCAAGCCTCATGACAGGCGAAAATGGGACTACTGCGGTCCATGCAAGCAGACCTTTCAGTCGAATAATTCAAGATGGGAAAAAGGGGTGACTGATGATGAGAGGGGACTTACGGTTTTCATTTAGCAGCAGCTTGACTTACGAGGGATAAATTACTATAAATCTCTCCCTCAGGTGTTCATTGTTTATCTTTACAAAGTCATGCGCTACTAATGTGTCAAATTTGGATGACTGTCGTGTTGAAATGAAAGCAGTGTCTAATGTTTTGTAGCATGTAATTGGTATGATCAATGCATGACGGGACCTCAAGCAAAAGAATGCGGGAAACTGGCTGGAGTTAAAAGATGCCAAGTTAATGGAGTTATATAATTGTAGCTCAGCTGTTTCCCCTTCCTGAATGTTCCAAAGCTGTTGATCAGAGATCATGGTGCCTGTCTATTTAAAATTACCAACCCCTCTTGTTCAGTGTATTCCACAGACAGCCTGGCAGAGCGCTGCTCCGTACCAAGGTGTGAAAAGGAATACATACCTCTGAAATGATACGACCCTGGTTTCCTGTATGCCTTGTTTTGTTACTGTGTCGTGTCTGTGTATTCATGTCACGTGACATGTCGTATGACATTGAAAAGACTTGGCGAAAATTCGTCAGGCTTCCACGAGAGATCTGTTCTTTGATGTGTTCAATGTAACTAGTGAACTACTTCATCGCACGGGCACGGCACAAGTGAAGCAGCAACAGTGTACTCTAAAAGCAACCAAACCAAATTGCGAATTGTGCATGCACAATCTAATGAAATGTCTAAAAAGCCTGACCTCCGTGTGACTGACTTGACGATCAACAGTAAATTAGTGCTAAAAAGATGTGAACTTTATTAATGTATTAATTGCACTGGATTACATGTTGTGAAAGTGTTTCATGACCTTATCGCAGTTTCTGTTGTCTTATTTTTTATCAAGTTCAATATTATACATAAATCACTAATGCAAAATAAAATATTACAAACATATTTGACATTCAACAGTATTATTTGGGAAAAATGCACACTTGGTCATTTAGATATGTAAAAGTGCCCAGCAAAAAACAGAAGCAAGTAGTTTCAGGTTAGTCATACACTGACGTGCGAGACGTTTCTACTTCGAGGAATAAGAGACGGTAGTCCAAGTAAATAGACCTACTTCAGTGAAGCAGTTATCGTATCGCAAAATTGGCAGTCATATGTTAAAACAACAAGCACGGGTGGTCATTTCCATCCACATTGTGCGAAACACCCTGGTCATGAATATGTTTCAGCATGTCGACTAAGTCCCACAAAACTTCCTTCTTTTTTTGCCCGCATTGCTTGTCAAGTTGAGAAGAAATCGCAGTCATCACGTGCCATGCAGTCAGTAGCATCACCATCGACATTTGCTCTGTGAAACTACAGGCTCTGATGCTGTACCATATGAACAAACACTAAAGGCAATGAGGCAATGGCCACAAGCAGCAGAATTCTTCTGCGCGTTGAAGAGGGGATCCAGTAGAGGTAGAAGAAATGCAACATGCGCCGTTTCAGAACGTGAACTTTGCAGCACAAGTTGAGGCGTCTCGCGACAAACTGTAAGTCTGAAGGATCGAGCGCTTCAGAAACGTGGGCCATTGCTTCGCAGAAAAACACGTTCACTGCAACAGTGTTCAGCTGCATAGAAGACTTGTGAGCTGATGAACACATTGAAGATTGGAGAGCACTATAGCACAGCTGGAACAAGTAGTGCTGCTTGTGTAGTTGTACAGTCCAGTGTAGTAGCTTGTTATTGCATTTTGGAAGGACAGCTGATGTAGAGAAGGCTGGTGGCAAAGGCAGCTGTATGAAACTTGTTGCACAAGAGCCACTTGTGAAGGCCACTATTCTGAGCTGCTCGTAAAATTCTGGTTACATTTATTTTTTGGTTCCAGCCAGTTGCTGAAACTAGCTGCCACTTCACTCTTTTCTTCTGCCAGCTGCAATGGCCAGACTTTACTTGGTAAACCAGACCTGACCAAGTACATGGTGCTAGCTCCCCTCTCAAGGTTTCGAAAAACGCTGCACTGAGATGCCACACCGTCCAGAGAGAAAGCACATTCAGTCGCAGCACTGGGATCAACTACCCACGCATTCATTAGCAAACCAGTTTTTTAGGAGGGTTTTCTTGCATCGTCACCCCGCTTCACCGCGTTTTGTCGGCATCTGGTGAAGCGCCAGGGCCCCTCATCTTCAACGCGATATAGACGATCGATGCGATGACGAACACAGCATGAACGGCGAGCACGACCAGGATGGGCTGTGCGGCGGGCCACTCGCGGTGCAAGCCGAACAAAGCCAGGGCGTGATTGTCCGTCACGATGCCGCATATCGCTTTGACCTGCGAGGATAGAGTGAGTGAAGGTCGGTGAGAGCAGACTTTTTAAGGCCCTGATCAGAAAATGTGGCAATTGAATCTGTACACTTAGCCTCATTTTCATCGGGCATGAACAATGTAGATGCCAGGCATGTTGAAGAATGGTGTTCTTTATCTGGCATAGCCTGTACATACATGTACAGTGAAATATGCAAACCTCGATATGAGTTATAACAAAGTAAATTAGAAATAGTTTTGCAATATATACGGTGTTATTTATGGGTAACCTTGATGACAAATTTTCGTGTATAACAAGCTTTTTTTTTGTAATATGCAACTTTGTTTTAATGAGGTTTAGTGTACTACTTTATTTTAAAAAAAGTTTATTTTTTTAGAATAAATAAACTAGACTTTATACAGCATAATGCAGGCCGTGGGGCTCCATCGAAGTTGTGGTTGACTCGCATGAAACACTTTTCACTACGTTATTCCAGCCCGTCTCCTCTAGAATGGAGCACACATGCTTCTTCGTTAAATAAATAATTGGGATTGACTGGCTTTATAATCTTTCAGCCCCCTTTGGTAATATCACACTATGATTCATTTTTAAGAAAAACACACACCTCACTGATATGAATATATTGCAACTACAAATGTTTTTTTCACTGGGTGACAAAAAAGTGGGCAGCCATTATACTTCAGACAGTCATTTATTAGTAAAATTAGAGCTTGGTTGGCTATATCAGCTGCAATTTATTCTCAATTTCTAAATAAGGTTGGACAAAAACCACTACAGTACGTGATTTAACATTGAGATGAGATAATGAAAGCATACAATACAGTGCATTCTCGGTAAATAGAAATTTGTTAAACGGAACTGCTGCTTAAACGAAACAGCTTCCTCTAGCACAATTGGTTTTGTACCTAAATTCAGTGCCCCTGCTCATCTCTCAGTAAACGTAACTCTTGTTAAATGAAACACATTTTCTTGGTCTATTCAGGTTCCTTTTAACTAGAGTCTACTGTGTATAAAACATCTTCTTTCTCCTCTCTAAAAGTGGAACAGCTATATAACACCTTATTGCGCATCTTTCTCTCTGTCCTGATGTAAATCAGTTTTACCGCACCACTCAACTGTTATTAACAATCATATTATTATTTCAAAGCCGGAAGCTTGTATTTTTCAGTGGAGTGCAATGCATTATTTCACTGCAAAAACAGTTTCGCCCTATGAGCCATCCTTCTGTCCTTTCCCTTTCCTGAAAACTCATTTTCTTACCCCAAAACTCAACACTCTCTAATCTCCTGCTGGAAAAATCAACAGCTTGCATGCCATTGTTGGTCTTGCAGTATCGGGAACGAGGCGTTTCAGTGAGAGAACATGCACAATGTAGACAGGGAAACTGTTGTTGTGTGTGAGAAATAAGCCCCAAAGGTTTCTGTATCTCGAGCCTCCTCTGCTCACCTGGATACCGTTCTCCTGAAGGACCACCGGGCCGCGTGGACAGTCATACATGGGCGTCGTCCCACCGGCAAACTCGACCATGGCAAGCTGCTCGAGCGTCCAACGCAGCGGCGATACCCACTGGAGCCACGATGTGACCAACGACAGGTCCATGAGGTGGACTGCGTAGCCGCCACTCATGCAGAACACCAGAACCACTAGGCCCAGGAAAGCGGCTGCACGTTGCCGCGTTGGGAACGTCCACGCCGAGGTCATGGCAACGGCCCGTACAGTCAGCAGGTATAGGAGCGTGTAGCCCATGTAAGGACCAAAGTTCCGCGTCTCTTCACGCTGAGGCAGACCCGTCATTGAGTAAGCAGGAAACACGTACGCTGCCGCGATGGCTGCGGCTGTTGGTAGGCTGTACATGAGCTGCAAGGAGAATATGTTGATGCGTTGGTGGTAGGCGTGTGAGGTAGAGGAAAGGCGGTCATATAAGTAGCTTCAGTATGGCCCTGTTAAAATTACTGTTTTAGTATAGCATTGCTAAAATGAATAGGAGAACTTGTTGCTGGGCTTGTCGGTTCATAACACTAAACGTCTGAGCGCAAGTTCGGTATGGGGCGTAGAAGAACACATACAGCACAGAACAAGCACATGATAGCATTTGTCCTGTGCTGCTTGTGTTCTTCTATGTCGAACACCAAAGTTGCACTCTGAAATTCAGAGTGAAAATGACTAGTTCGTGGGGATGTCACAGTGAAACTCTGCAAACATTGATTGCCACGTCTGCGGCACTGTACATCAGTTGTGAGTCTATGAAATCATACCTGTAGTGGCATCAAAGTATAGAATGCGAAAGGTTGATTCTCTGGGGTATTTGTCAGTATAGACTGATAAGGTCGAAGACTGTACGGAACGGAGACGAAAATCGCCGTAAACACAAGTGGCAATGAAGTGAATACGAATGTAAAAATCTGATCGTGTCATAAAAGTTTACCTTAGCAGAATTAACCAGAAAAACTTGTAACCTACAATTTCTGGTGCACCTGTGCACTGAGAACATAAAATAGGGAAAGAACCCACGTTGAACATTTAAAGCATACACGAAATGGCTATTGCATTTGTGAAATGCTACATAATCTTTTATGCACTTGTATTTTTAGACATTCAGGTAATTTTGTATTGCTGGCACTGTGCAAACTCTTACACTGTCACAATATCTATGGGACTTGAGTAGTATAATCAAGGCACCATTAGCTGCAGCATCATGTGTGAACCCTGAAGTTTTCATGTCTGAGAGTTTGAGCACTTCCTCAATAATTCTCCTTACGGTGTTGACCCTGAAAGTTAGCATATCATTATTGGCACTGGCTTAGCTGTTCAAGTCCACAGAATCAGTGTTTGGAACTGAAGTTCTGTGAATATGAATCTACCGAACCCATTGAATACTGCAACTGTGGCAGCAGATCTGAGCTGTCAAATCGTGAGCAACAATTGTTACATTGAAATGACCTCTGCCCTTTAGTATGGTCTCAAAGTGAGCTTATTACATGGCATGTTATGTAGGGCTGTACCTAAAAAGTATATGAACAGAAAGCATCAGGGGCTATAAGCAACTTTTTGTCTGATTGGCGACTCACTATCGAAAATGGATGATGATGGCTCGTTCAAAAAGGTTCAGTAGAAGTCCAACTGATGGTGATACATTAGCATGGAGTGATCTTGTATACTTCTTTCATTAATTTGTCATGCTTCTGGCTGTTGTTGTCGCTGGGACTAGGCATATTGCACGACTGTGTCAGTTTTCTGCTTAATCATGCTCAGTTGATGATGCATATAATAAAGCAATCATACTTGTGAATAGCGACTTTTCACATTGAATGTGAGTTGTAATACAGAAATAATTGATTTAGTACATGTATAACAGTTCAATCATTCATAAACACTTTTTCTGTATCTGATGTAGGCTGACTACGTAAATGAAACAAGTAACAGTTAAGCAGGCATCAGTGGAGCGAGGTTTGAATTGTGAAAAATCGAAGTTGTTTTTTGTTCATAGTGTAGCATTGAGTGAATGAAAAGCGACAGGTTGTTCCACACCAACATAAATCTATGGTAACCTGCTTGTGTAAGTTATAAGCTAGTAACCGTATTGACTACTAAACCACAAGAGATATTAAACGCAGGATAGTAATGAAGGGCTAGGGACTAGCAAAAACACGTCAAATGGTGTTAATTCAGCAGCGTGTGAACAAGCAAAAATTGTCACAAAGTTTATAAAAAAAGCAAATAACTGATCCTACCTTTGATATGATGTACGCAATGCCGTTGTACAACCTTTCATTGATATCCCTTGAGACGTACGACTTTTCTCGCCAGACTGGAATGAAAAAGACAAGGGTGTGAGCTACATCAGGTGCAGGCTTCAAGGTTTCACTACATATATTTAATAACCTGTAGTGAAAAAAATAAGGTGGTTAGTAGTACTAGTTCCAAGAAATGTCTGCAGTATTCATAATCTGGTTTGCAGTAACAAGTGTATCAGAATGTAAAGTAAAGAGTTTAAATGTGGCTTCATTTTCTGTTCAGCCTTATTCTATTTCGTTATTAGAACACAAGCACTAATGTTCATTTAACTTACTGAATACCTTAATTACATTAGCACTGCTAACACCACCGACCTATTTTCACGAACTGCTTTGGCAACTAGCACGTTCTTGTTGATCAGGTAATGTCACTTTGTATTCTGTGCTATGATTAAGGCTCAGCTCATCAAGTAATCTAGCTGATGTGGTAAAACTGAGAAAGACAGTGCCTCAAGGGACTTTGAAGTCTGTTTCCATTTAAACTGATAACCATGAGTACTCAAAAGCATTTTTTAGGCCCTTTTAATTTCATATAAAGGAAGAAAAAAAAAAACTCTCCATCTGCTTGTTGAACCTTCAAAGTAACTCCATGTGTTTCTATCAAGGAGAACACCTATTTAGTCGAAAAAAAAAAAAAAAAAATCTGGGCAATTCTTTATCTTAGACCTTTGCCCATCTTGCACACTTTCACAGGACTTTTTTACCGTATTTCTAATTGGTTAGTTTCAAGCCTTTTTTTTTTCTTTTTTCTTCTCAGTTTAGGCTTGAACTTTCCACTGAACTTGGTGTGAGCTTGATCATCATCAGAATGAAAAATTAGGCAGTGTGAGCCTGATGGCTTATAATACATTTCATACACAAGGTACAATGTTATTGAATCTAGCAAGACCTCTTGCAAAAGATGGGTTTGGAACAAAATTTAGTGACATGCCACCTGTAATGCAATTTTTTTTTCTTTTGTTTTTTAGTCCGAGTAATAAATGCAGATGTTTGATGCCTTAAAATAAATAGATTCAGTTATTCAAGACACAGAACGTCTTCATTTATTACTTAGTCTAAAAACTAAAAAAAAAATTACGTTACACGTGATATATCATCGAACTATTTTATGGTGTGAATGTGTATGCTTGCAAAGAAGTGTTTTGCTAGCTTCAATAACATTGCCCGTCATGTACGAAATGTGGAGCAAGAAATTAGATTCACACTGCCCGATTACAATCAAGTTATTTATACGGTTGCCAGTAGGCTGATCCGGATCACCTAACGTCTCTGTTTTCATATTGTGGCCTCCGTGATTTGTTTTGTAGTGCACAACTGTAGCCAATCACAGAGGTCACATTTAAAATGGCATTATCCTAGCGCAACACGCACAAACTTATTTTGTGAGCCGAACTCATGTAGCTTTCACAGCATTGCACCTGATATATGAAACGAAGTGTAGTTGTGGTGATGATATGAAGAAATAATTTTTGGGTGTAAACGCTATGCACATTGCAGGGCAGTTGCGATACACGATGAAGTCTTTTTACCGTCGGTGACATCGCCGAGCAGGAGCGGCCAGAGACAGAGACCGAGGAGCGTGTAATGAAAGCCAAGCCGATCCAAGACGTGCTCCTGGTCGAGCCCTGCCCTCACGTTCCAGAAGATGGCCCCAACAAGCACGGAGATGGAGGCGGCGAGGAATAGACGTCGAAAGAAGTGCACCACGTTGTATGGGAAGGTGTAGATCAGTGCCCGTCTGTGTGAAAGCAAAAAAAAAAAACCTCAATATAAGTAAAACAGATATAACAAAATACCGGTTATAACGAAGTAAATAATAATAAGTCGTGAAATAAAAAGTCCTATAATTAACTTTTATAACGAATATTCAGACATAAAACACTTATTTTTTTGTAAGATGCAACTTTGCTTTAATGAGGTTTGAATGTACTACATTATGATTCTTTATTTTTAATTTTATATTTAGCCTTTTTTTTGTCAGCATTACCATTGTTGCAAGTGCCACTAACACTGATGCCATGACAGTCATAGTTGAAAGAGATCGAGAACGAAAATGACAAGTACCAAGTTGTGGTAGCCGTAGGATGTCAACATGATATACATTATTTATGATTCAGTAACGGTCAGATGGCATCACTACAAATGTGCGGTGTAAATCAGTTGAAAATGCACAAGTGTAGAAAGTAAATCGAATCAGAAAAATTTCATCGAGCGTTTCGCATCTTTTCAAACTTTTTTTTGGAAGTGCCCACAGTGCTCGGTGCACCTTCTTTACTACGGTGGTAACACACACGCATAACCTTTGCTTTGACATAGCAAGTTAACTAGTACGTTTGCAGACTGTCTTAGTGAATAACCAAAAAAATTTGAAAGCGAATAACCAACTCGGGCAGCTTGCGTGCGGAAGTTGTAGGTGCATGCCGTACCCGAGGAGTTGCACCACAATGTATTAATTTTGCTTATATAAATTGGGTTGAGCTTGTATAGTGAACGGTCATTGTTCAAACGTGTGTGCCGATGCTGCAAGCTATAGCCAGCTGTCTCTTAGTAATTACAATAAGTATCTTTTCCACACCAGTGCTAAAGCTGCACTTAGAAGCGTGGAACTGAAATGTTTTGTAATTTCTTGGAAGAAAAATAAGTTTTTAAATTCTTTGATATGCGCATGCTGCGAGATCAAGTAAATTTTTAGCCATTTACTGCCGAGTGTCATGCATTTGTGACATACCAATTAACTTCATGCGAGCAAGTCACGAAATGCGTGCTCCCTTTAATGATGGCCGTCAAGCACTTGTGGGACATGTAGCTTGCAGCATGAAAAAATCTAGTGCTGTCCTGCGTAACGTATTTTATGCTAAAACCAATTGTTTCGCAGCTAAAGGTGGAGAGTGCGAAGCGCAGGCAAACAGCTCTCGCTTCCTCATTTTTTCTCGCTCGGGTGACTAAAGTTCTATCTTCGGTAATTTTGTTTCTTCAGTGCGTACGCACCCAAGAAGTGGCACACGACATGTTACGTAGTTTTGAAGTACATTTTTGGTTGGAACGCACTTGCTTCTGTGGTATATGTAGAATTCGCAACGTACTTAAAAGTATGCATTAAAGTCGCATTTTGGATAGTTTAACTGCAGAATCATTTAAAGTGCGCTATTTGAAGTTGGAATTGAAAACAATCTTATTTTGCTTTGCTCAGCAGTTTAACAATTCAGGCATTAAATGTCGATTCTTCAGAATCTTTGTTCGAGAGAGAGAGTAATAGAAAGACTGGGATTACAAGAGTGTGCACTCACATCCAAAGGGCTAGCATCTGTCCAAAGAATCCTGCCCTGTAGACGTCCATGGGAGCATTACCCGGGGGACCCGGGTCGGAGAGTGCCACCTGCCTGCGCCGAAACACCTCGACCAGGTTCTCGACTCGCTGGCTGGACTCCAGCATCGCCTCGGGAGAGAGATTGTCCAGCGTCACCAGGTCGACTGAAGCACACAAGATATGTATGCTCTAAATATGCAGATTTCATTGATGGACAAAAGAAGCGGAATATTGTTCAAGGGGCCCATTCTTATGTTAGAGACAACCGTATGAATCAAACAGGCAATTTGGTTAGGAAAGGCAAAGAAGGCATTAATTGTTGTTTTTTAACTTAAGCCTACTGATTGTTACACAAATTCAAATTAAGTGGGTGAACATCTTCCTTTCTTTCAGTAGAATCTGAATCCACAACCATTGAATTAATCGTCCAACGTTCAACTGATTCAACCGTGGTAGAAGGCTCTTCCACGTCCACTTTGTTAGGTATATCTATAAATAAAACCCCCTGAGAATGCTAGCCAGCGTACAACTTATAATCCGGGAAGTGAGTATGGAACACTTTTTCTTTGCCGGAAGGCACCGCGTGGCACTTCATCTTTGCACGACGAAGCAGCTGACCAGCAAACCCTCTTATGCTAAGCTAAGACATTGTCTGCCATGGCGACGCCTTCATCATAAACGAAAAAAAAAGGAGGATTTTGCCGAGGGGCTTGTTTTTATCCTGAGAACAAGCAGATAAATTGAACAAACAATTAGTGTAGAGAAAGCTAAGGGGTTCTTAATTGTTGTCTTTTAACTGTAGTGTACTAGTCGTGACGAAAACTGAAATGAATTGAAGTGTACAAATAATCACTCTGATGCTTATCTCTAACACTTTCTTATTTTCTTCTTATTTTTTCACTTTCCAAGTTCTTTCATGCCCTGCTTCCCTGAAAAAGCAGATTCAATCGAAAGAGAGGCAAAGAAATGTTATCACGTTCTAGAGGAAAGACCAACTGTGGTAGCTCAATGATTTTCTGGGGTTTCACTTGCCAAAAACATGATGCAGTTATGAGGAATACTGTAGTGAAGGACTACTAATTTAAACCACCAGGGGTGAACATGCACTTCAGTATTTTACATGTGGTGTTCATTGAAATATGGCTGCCAATGCCAGGAGTCAGTGTCCTCATGCTGGTAGCAGAACCCCTTTGCTTATCGGCCACCATTTCAATAGCATGCAACACACAGGTGCTATTCAAGTCGACCTCCCCATGAGCCAATTCGAACGAAGTTTGTTGCATTTTAGAGAGAGCAAAATCATTGTAAATTTAAGGGGAGCTGTAAGTTGTGGTCTCTCATTTGTACGTAGAAGTTTATGTAGGGGGCAGGAACCATCATGGAGCAAGTAAGCCTTTTTTTAGTCATCTAGCCTTTAGTCATCTGGGCCTGTCTAGAAAATAAAGTGGATTGAATTGATTTAAGTTTATTTTTGTTGGTCAAAGGTTGCTAAAGTTTAGAAAACAGGAGCGCAAATCTAATGAGTGGGTAACTCCTCACCTAGAACAGATATGGCCGTTCGGTAAATTGTATTTCTTATAGCATAAAACGTAGATAAACCTGAAGGATAAATTTACGGTCTGCACAAAACTATTACACGGTGAGGAGAGTGTTATGAAAGATCTATACTGGAAATAAGTGGTGTATATCACAGTGACACATCTAACTGCAAGTTTGTTTGCTTTTCATGCACATTTGGGCCGTGATTAAAAATACTATAGCTTAGCAGAGGCATGAAAATAATGCCCAATTTTCTCAAGGTGTCGAAGTGTTCAAGACAGTTTTTTTTATATGCTACATGCTCAGCCTTTACTTTCCAAAGTTACTTGATTTTAATTTTTTTATCCGAGTGAGTGTGGTGTTTTCCAAGAAAAATGATGTCTGCATTCCCAAGTAGTATTTAGAAAACGCTCGAAACCGTTCTCGTTGCAAGTGGATGTTCTACCATGCCTCTGGTTATGAAAACAGGAAAAATAACTTCCTCTGCTTGGAAATGCAGTAAAAGTAGCTTTCATGCTGCACAAACCCACGCTTCCTGTACACATGCTTCACAATGCAACATGAAATATTGCAAAAAATGCGTGGTAGAAACATCCATTTCCTGCGGGCGTAAGAATATGCGATTATCATAATGGCTCCACGGTTGAAAGCCGGTACCCCACTACAAAAGGCACACACACTGCTGCACCCATTCCCTTTAAAGACACGTAGTGAGTGCATAGCAAATTCGAAAAGGTTCCATGCACTAAGTGTTTAAAGTATGCACTGTAGGAACAGGATGTTGCTATCACGTTCAACTCCTAAAGGCAAAGCTTTAGGGACCCCTAATTTTTTTCCTGCATGTATGCATGCAGGAACGCCAAAGATATGATCAATAATATTTTCCCCATGTATCTTGTTGTTATCCAAGACATTGCAATAATTTGTGCCTTGTACAGATGAACGCTCTGTTCGAAGACCTCAGCGTCGGACAGCTGAAGCACACATAAATCCATGACCTGACCGAATACAAAGCCAGGCGGCTAAATGTTCGCTCTCAACTACTTTACACGGGTCGGTGCATCATTCGTTTGTAGTATGAATAGATGATTTTTAAATTCACTTGGGTATAGGGCTGCAGTACTACAGTCTGCCTTCATTTTTTTAAAAATAGTCAAAGAATATGAGTACAACATGCCGTAGCACTGATTAAGCTAGCTTAACTTAATCTAACCTAAATGATACGTAAAAGATGAAAGCTTCTTTGACACACCCACATCACACCTAACAAAGGTGTTCCTCTATATTTCGTCCTCATTGAAATGCAGCACCATATTATGATAGTCATGCATTCGCACACCGGCTGCCGGGTTCGTAACTAATTTGTGAGGGCACTAGCTTGGAGGTTGGGGTCAAAAGCCCAATGTTCAGAAATGATCGACTGAAATCAATGCAGCAAACGGTTGTGCAAATACCGATAGATTTCTGATAAAAAGCCCAGTATTGCCCTACTTTACTGTAATGCAACATGCTTTGAAAACCTGAAATATTGCAGTGCTCCCGACTTTCCATGCCAAACTACACTTTCCTGACTAAGTGATAGAAGGACACCCTGCAGTATGAATTACGAGTGTGCCAATAAGTCATTGTTTGCTCCTGGTGTTCGATTCCTGCTTTTAATAAATGTTTTCGAAACTATAGCATAACAATAAATACTTAGTGACTAGTAAGAATTGCAGCAGGTACTAATTGTTCGAGAATGTATCGGTAAAGTATTGATACTCGATTTGCTTTCTGGTGCTACTTGTAGTTTTTCAGAACAGTATCAAACGTGAATCCACTCGCACATAATAGACAAGCGAAGCGAGCAAACGACAGATACGAGTACGAGAATCAGTGTATATATAGCTCACGGTAGTAATCGGAGGGGTTCTTGAAGGCTGGACAGGGAAAGTCGATGCAGGAGAAGTACGGAAGTAGTTCGCGTCGTTTGCCGTGATACACCATGCGCCCTGTCGATACGATGGCCACTGGAACAAGAAGAGTGTGATGTCATACTTGTACTCTTAGTTAGATTCAAAATAGAAAACGGCTTATTATCTTTTTAACTGATTGATATGTGGGGTTTAGTGCCCCAAAACCACCATATGATTATGAGAGACGCCATAGTGGAGGCCTCCGTAAATTTCGACCACCTGGGGTTTTTTAACGTGCACCCAAATCTGAGCACACGGGCCTACAACATTTCCGCCTCCATCGGAAATGCAGCCGCCGCAGCCTGGATGCGTTCTCGCAACTCGCGGATCAGCAGCCAAGTACCTTAGCCACTAAACCACCGCGGCGGGGCTAGTATCTTCCTAAAGACTGGTGACTGTTTGTGTTGACGAAGCACAGTCTACGCCAGTTTCAGTGCACTGAATGTACGATCTGTGTCACGCACGCATTACAACACGAGTGTACAGCGGCGTCCAGAAAAAGCATTGCTGTTCGATAAACCTGACACACAACCAAAGGCTGAGATGGCAGTGAAGACTTGGTGATTACACAAAGCCCGGAGCAAACAAGAGATTAAGTTTCCGCTGTTACTGATTGGGCCCCAAATCATTGATTAAGCCCAAAGTCATGAGCTGTGAGGCAGCTCAATATAGATTGGCATAATAGATAGGCTTTACCTCTAATATTACCGTTTTTAAGTACAGTATACACGAATACGAATTCAACATCAAATTTATTGGTGTGCGCTATTTCTCAAGATAACCACCTCATGTCGCAATAAATATGGTCTCTAAAGATAATATTGGCTCTTACCTATGCGTTCGAGTCAAAATTACACCGGTACATATTAGTACTCAAATTGAAAATGATAGAAACGAAAGTGTGTGCATTGCATTCTTGTAAATTGTTTCGTTTCAATGCTTTATTATTATACCTATTGTATATAAAGACATCTTTCCCATCACACGTGCAAATTGAAGCCGCTGTACCTCTTCTTGATGTAGAAGCAATTAATGCTTCCGGCAGAGAAGCATGAATAATTTCATCGTATAATCTCATTTCTTCATATTATAAATTTCTAAAAACAGGTTTTCATTGACAATAGGCCTCCCTTATTAGCACCCTTTCCTGTATGAGCTGGTGAAGCAGAAATTCCTAACAATTCGTAGTTGATTATGATCGTCACTCTCGGCCTAATGTATGTCCACTGAAGGACAAAAGGCTTTCCTGATGACCTCCACTTTATCCTATCTTGTGTGAGCCGATTTCATTTTCTGCATCGTGCATAAGTTTATTAGTTCTGTCAACCCCCCTAAACCTCTGCGTTCCTCAGCTGCGTTTTACATGGTATCAATTCTGCTGTTTTAACCGACCACTTCTTCTTTGTCCTATGCATCAGTTGAACCCGCCTGGTTCATTTTTTTAGGGATGAAGCTCCTTACACCATGGATCGTACGTCCCATGACATAGTAGCCAGTTGCATTGCATTGCATGTCAACAAAAACTGTGTTACAGCATATCCACCGAGTGAATGATGATGAGTGGGGCGAAGGGTTCGTGAGTCGGTGCTTCTGTCCATCTGCGCATTCGTTCGTTTGTGGGTCTGTCCACGCATTCGTTTGTGCGTCCGTTTGTTCGTTTATCTGTATGCCCGTCCCTCCATTCGTGTTTCCCACGTCTTTAGTTTAATGATCGACTAGGTCGATTAACTTCCCTGTGGAGAGCTTTGCCCACTTGTCATCATTCACCTCATATATGCTGTGATTTTTCTTTCGTTTTTGTTTTTTTGTTAATGTTGCTAGGAATATTGGCAACCCTCATTCATTCTTCATTACATTATTCTGTCTTTTGTTATAACATTATAATCATTTTCTGTTCCATAATACCATGCATGGTCCTTCACTTTTTTCTTGAGCCTGTCATCCTCAAAGTTTCAACTCCGTATGCTGGTCCTGGCAATATGCAATGATTGTACACTACTTACCCTAAACAAGTAAGACGTGTAGTTTTGAAAGCAACAAGAGTCTTTGCAAGTAACACCCACACACAAATGTCTAATGACATGCAGTGTTTCAATAAAGCTTGTGAAACTGGAGCTTCTCATAAGTGCTTTATTTATACAAGCAGCCTTACTTGTGCGCATTGAATGTTTATTCACATACCACAGCACAAAGAAACGCAGCTGGAAGCACTTACTGCTCAGTTATGACATGACCAAGATTGTAACGTGACAGGCAACTTTTCATTAGGTTCAGTAATAAAAAAGGTTTACAAAAATAAAAGAATTATGTACATCATTACATTTTTAAACAACTTGAATTTTCGTAACGTTAGGGTTGAGGCTTCAGGTAGCAAAGATCCGGAAAAAAGCTCCGGTTACGTTCAAGTAAACACGATATAGGTGCTTTCAATATGGCGTATAGTTCATTGAAGGTGGTGACGTACCTCTTGTCATCATGGTGAAGATCTCGTAGGTGGGCGGGTGAATGGTCATGACGACGATGCGACCCCTGGCAGCCCATTGTCTGAGGTAGTCAATGAGGAAGAAGCTGTCGAGGATGTCCATGCCAGAGATTGGCTGATCCAGCAGTACCACATCTGGATTAAGAAACAAAATGTTACGGCTGCAGCGTATCGGTGCAACTTTATCAATTTCTCAATGATTCGTGGCCACATCACGCAACACTACAGACTGAACAGATGCAAATATCCACCACCCCACGCCAAACTAAACAAGAAACAGCAGGTTGCCTGGAGACAACTACAGACACACAGGTACCCGAATCCGGTGATCCTTCGCCTCTGCTACCCAGGCATTTATACGTCCGACGCGTGTAAGGCGTGCGGAGCCAGAGCGACGCTGCAGCACATGCTGTGGAAGTGTACCGGTAACGCGCAGCAGTCCCCTACGAACCCGGCAGACATAGCAGTCTCGAACCGCGAGGCGCGATGGGAGGCGGCTCTGCTCAGCCACGACCTTGCTGATCAACTGTGGGCCGTCCGGCAAGCCCAGGATGCCGCCCGGGTCCAAGGACTCGAGGCCGTCACCTAGGCCGGGGGGCTTGTAGCCCCACCCCGCTCAATGACGCCGGACATGTTCAATAAAGTTTTTACTCACTCACTCACTCGTGGCCACATTCAATGTCGCCTCCAAGTGACCTTAAAATGTTGAAGCTGCGTTCGGTGGTTGAACATGGTTCAATTTCAGCTGCAACACTTCCTTAAAAATGCCATGTGGAGTTTAACTGCATCTGCATTCGTGCTCAATCACCACTAGTGATTCTAGGAATGTATGTACTGTGCACTAGGGTCACACAGTCTTATAAGCTTCGGTTATTCAAAGTGTGGCTTGGATGTTGTTTCATATTGAGACATTTATGAATATCAACGATTGCGGAGGTTTAGTACTGTAGGTCATTCTTTGTTGTTATAGCTGTCATGAGATTCTCGACGTCGTGGGTTGGGTTCCTGTCCTTGGCAGCTACATTTTAGATGGGTCCAAAATGCAGTAACACCTGCGTAATTACATTTAAGGTGCATGCGAATGGACCCGGGGATGTTCAAAATTATCTCTGTCACTACGGCATACTTTGTAGTGATCGTATTGCGCATTTGGCTCACAAAACTCCAAAAATTGGTACTTTTAGCTGCATTGTGGTACTATTCACGCTGAATGACGCTCATGCTTATATATGCATCAATGCATATAAAGCAAAGGTCTTTAGTACAAAAAGACTATCTTCTTGTAAAAAAAAAATTTTAATAGGAACTCGCTACAAACAGTGCAGTAAACAAATTCTGTGAGGAAAGAACATGCCTCTGTTGTAGTTATATTATTTGACTATTTTCTTGAAAAATTAAGGAAAACTGTGTAGCACTGCAGCTCTGTTCCAAAGAGAATTCGAACATCGTCTATTCATACCCTAAACAACTTATGCACTGACCCGTGTCAAGTAGTAGTTGAGAGGCAACATTTAGCCGCCTGGCTTCGGATTCGGTGAGGTCTCGGATTCGTGTGTGCTTCAGTTGGCCGAGGCCGAGATCTTCAAGCAGAGCGTTGATCTGCATAAGATACACTGATTATTGCACTGTCTCGGATAACAGCACGAACATACATGGGAGAGACATTACCTTTGATATGTTCCGTGTTCCTGCATGCATGCATGCGGGAAAATATGCATCGAATTTACTCATATGAAAGAAAAATGGACGTTTATAGTACAGGCACTAAGTATACTTTTTTTAATGCAATCCTTCTTTTGTAATGCGTCTGTAATGCATTTGCATTTTCAATTCTGTAGGCACCCTAAAAGCAGCATGGGAGTTCTCTTTCTAACAACAGCCCCAGGTGGTGCAGAAGGCCACTACTGATTAGTTTTTTTCTCTTATTAGTAATCCTTGCCACATTACACTATCCTGCACTAAAGTTTGTTGTTGAAGCAATTAGTTTCTTTAATAAGCAGCTCTGCAAATTCAAAAACAAAACACTGCGACAAAAACTGCACAGGCGAGGTGCATCTATCACCTGTCAATAGTAACGAGCAGGGCACGGCACCGACTGGCTACAGCGTTTGCTTCTCCAGCTTGTTTGTTTGATAAGAAGTTGATAGACTAAGTTCGTCGGTGCAGCTTTCCCTCTGTTTCAACTTTGCAGTGCCGCCTTTAAGCGGTACAACTATGCTATTCCAACGAGTCCCAACACAAGCTATTCAAGCTACAAGCTACGCAAGCAATCAATGCTGCGAAAGCAATCAATTAAAGAAATCTTATTTACACAAATCTATTATCCCCACCAAAATCGTTTCCTTACATAACTTCCACTTTTTTTAAATATGTACTATAATAATTTTCCACCGAAGCATGTCATTTATTCACAATCAGTGCTCCATAGACAGTGATGGTGCAAGTCAGCTATGACAGATGCACCTGAATAGCACAAGATTTAATACACATGTTTAATGTGAACTGTGAACAAGAATTCAATTTAGTGTGGGTGCAGTCACTGACTCTTCTTTATCAATTGGACGTGCCATCATCATTTGTATAATTTTCTCATCTGTAGATACCATCATCAGTGTGTGCCAGCTCGAGCTTGTCTCGAATAAAGATCTGCCTCATAATACTCTTAACGCAGTACTTGTCCATGCGATCTTCGAGGGGCTGTCACTAGAGCTCTATGTATGATATATAATCCGATATAGCCGAGTTCAACTGTCTATATATATATAGGCAGGCATGGTAGTGGAGTGATTGTAGCAGTGCAAGCAGTAGAGTAGAACCTCCGTGAGAAGTCACAACAAGGCTTATTTTGACGTTTCAGCCAGAGTCTGGCCTTCATCAGGAATAAGAGTACAGTTTGTTGGTGTTCAGCTTTATACAATCTTAAAGGACAGAGAGTACATGAAAAAAAAAAACAGGACATGACGTAGACCCGCGCTTCTCTTGGTTGTCCCCTTCCACCCTTTTTTTTTACCGACGATCACCTTCGACATATTTGCGGCCTGCGTATGCTTCCTTGCACTAATATATTGTTCCTAACCAGACTGCGCCGCACGGCTCCGGTGGTTCAGTGTGGGAAAAAAGAGTTTTTTTTAAGAAGTTAAGCCTTTAACTGCTCAGTGCTACGTGGACGTCTCATTGCCAAAAGAGGGGTTCCGTGCATTTCCGCAGAAGCTAGCTAGCGGGTGCAATGTCCCGCTCTTGAATTATGCAGTAGGGGGCTTCCGATTGTGCACAAGGTTGCTGTCGGACATGCCATGCTTGGCACAATTTTCGCACGACTTGCATATTAACTTGGATTCTAACGTACAGACTGATGCCATATTCCTGGACTTTGCGAAAGCATTCGATAAAGTACCCCATAAACGCCTTCTGTTGAAACTTTCCCGCTTAAACCTACACCCCGACGTCCTAAAGTGGATCCGTGAATTTTTAAGTAACCGCACTCAAGCTGTCTTTGTTAACAATGCTACCTCTATTTCACTTCCGGTAACATCTGGTGTCCCGCAGGGGTCGGTTCTGGGCCCGATTTTATTCCTGATATTTATTAACGATCTCCCAACTCATGTATCCTGTAAAATCGGAATGTTTGCCGACGATTGTGTTATTTACCACACTGTTTGTAACGCTTCTGATCAATTAGCTCTACAGAGTGATCTTAACAATGTAAAACAATGGTGCGATGATTGGCTAATGGAACTTAACCCTCACAAATGCAAAGCCTTATCCTTCACCCGCCGCCGTTCTCCACTTGTTTTTCCATATTCCATCAGTAATGTTCCAGTTGAAACTGTTAATTCTTTTAAATATCTGGGGGTCACACTCTGCAACGATCTTTCATGGGGTTTGCATATCACGAAAGTCATATCATCGGCAAACAAAACATTGGGATTCTTGCGACGTCATCTACGTAACGCACCTAGAAATGTAAAATTATTAGCTTACAAAAGCCTTGTTAGAACTAAACTTGAATATGCTTCCCCAATCTGGAGCCCGCAACAGGCCTATCTTGAAGACGCCCTTGAGTGTATTCAAAACCGTGCCGCTAGGTTTATCAATAATTCTTACTCCCATGACGTCAGCGTATCTTCACTAAAGGCAGAACTTCAACTGCTCCTCCTTTCCCTCCGCCGCCGTATCGCCAGTCTTTCGTTATTTCATAAGTTTTTTCACAGCTCGATGCGCATGCCACCTTATTTTGTTCCCCCAGCGCACATCTCTCAACGAGCTAATCATCCTCTTCAAGTCGCACGCCCACGTGCACGCACCGTTACTTTTTCAACATCATTTTTTCCTCGCACAGTAGTTGCCTGGAATGGCCTTTCAGGCGACATTCCTGCCATTACTTGTACTTCTACCTTCACAACCAGTATCACTAATCATCTTTCACTTTAGGACAAACGATTGTTTTCTGCTCAATTTTTATGTACCCACCCCTTATGTAATGCCCCGCAAGGGGTCTTTTAGGAAATAAAATGAAATGAAATGAAATTGATTGGTTAGTAAGATAGAAACAGAAAGAGACGACAGCTGTACTCGGGAAGAGTAGTTACACTTAGAAGAATTTCCGTTGTCCAGTGACCGTCACAGCTGCAGTGCCGTGAACTCTTCAGTTATTATTTTCATTTCTACCGTTATTGTTTCTTACGCGTTAATTGCTGCAAGGGTACCCGAATTCTCCTTTATTCCTCTTTAGGGGGTGTTAAATTGATGGATGAGGTATGAATGTCAATGTTCACGTTTGATTTAAATCCCATTTCTAAGAGTTTTACTGATAGTTTGTCAAATGCATAGTCAGGAAGGTTGAGATGTTTTGATAGAGGTAGACTTGGGGCTGATTTTGCATGGGCTATGTGATTAATGAAACGAATCTAAATGGTGTTCCTGTTTGCCCGATGTACTGCATACTGCATACGTTGCATTTGAGTAGGTATACCACGTTAGAGGAATCGCATGTTAGGTTTCCTCGTATGTTAATCAAGAACTTAGATTGTGTGCTAGTTGCTTTGTCTGTTTCTCGCATTGCTTTCAATACAAGACACCGTGACTTTAAACTAGGTCGGCACAAATACTACGGGGTGAAGTATTGATGCAGCAATAATAACTGAAGAGTTCACGGCACTGCAGCTGCAACGGTCACTGGACAACTGAAATTCTTCTAAGTGTAACTACTCTTCCTGAGTACAGCTGTCGTCTGTTTCCATCTAACTAACCAATCAATTGTGCAAAGCATGACATGTCTATCACCAACCTTGTGCACAATCGGAAGCCCCCTACTGCGTAATCCAGGAGCGGGCCGGAATTAACATTGCGCCCGCTAGCTAGCTTCTGCAGCAATGCACGGTGCCCCTCTTCCGGCGATGAGACGTCCACGTAGCACTGAGCAGTTAAAGGCTTAACTTCTTAAAAAAGCTCTTTTTTACCACACCGAACCACCGGAGGCATGCGGCGCCATCTGGTCGGGCACAATACGTTAGTGGAAGGAAGCATACGCAGGCCGCAGATATCTTAAAGGTGATCGTCAGTAAAAAAAAAGGTGGAAGGGGACGGCCGGGGGGGGGGGGGGGGTAGGAGGGTCTAACTCGGGTCTACCTCGCTTCTGATCAAGGCCACACTCTGGCTGAAACATCGAATAAACCACACACACACACATATATATATATATATATATCTGTCAGTGTGAAAATGGCTTTTTGAAGCGGATCAGTTATTAAAAAAATAAAGGGAGGGAAGTTACTGCAGCCTGCGGTCAACAAGTTGTGGAAAGTGCGTGAGTTAAAGGGTCACTGAAGAAAAAGAATGACTTGGTTTAGATTGATGAACTGCACTCTGAGAACTCTAACGGTGTATGTTTCACTATCATAAGTTTAATATTAGCAGGAAAAACCAAGGTCTAAGTTTCATTTTTAAAGTTCATGCTGAAATCTCCATGCGTGACATCAGAGACTTCAATATGTATTTTTTTGTACTTTCGGCTAATTGACTGAATAAAATTTTCTGAAACTTTGTATTCTGGGTCTACGACACTCACAGATTCTTACACATTAATTTTATTGACTAGAACCTGCGTAGGACTCGGTATATGCCTTAAAATTCATGATGTCGCGGTGCTTGGTGCGGGAATCGCAAGGTGGTGTGTCCACTTCTTTTCCCGCGTTTTCTCGCATGCCAGGCGTCGTGTCGCGGGAGCAGTGGTGTTTTCGTGATTGCAGAATCCTACTCTACTGATATGCAAAAAATAATTTTGCTCTTTAGTGCCCCTTCGAGTTTAGGGAAACCTGAAAGGCTACGGTTCTCACCCTGGCCTTGGTATCCCGGCCCGGTCCTCCCGGCTCCTGGAGCAGCGAGGTGAAAAGCATCCACTGCCGCACGCTCATGTCTGGCCACAGGTGCCAGTTGCGAGCGACGTAGGCAACGCAGTGTTCTAGCCTCGCTGGTGGCATGAACAGTCCGTTGAACATGATGTCGCCGCGCAGCCGGCTGCCCCACTTTGGGTGCCGGTTGGCCAGAATGTCCAGCAGGGCCGAACCCTCTTGCTCTGTGCGTCAATGTGCATAAAGAACGTGAAGCGATGCATGCCATAATAGTCAACATTTATTTATTGAGCACAGCATTCTTGGTTGCTATAGCTTCGCATATTTGGATATCTTCTAAATCAGTTGCAGGAAGTCTATCATTACAGCAAATTCAAACAGAAACAAGTTATAAAATTGGTTGGTCACTAAGACTCTAAAACTTGCACTCAGGACTACACTCAAGTCTCGTTATATCAAAGCTGCATATTACATGAAAATAGGCTCGCTATATCCGAAAATGTGTTATAAATGTACGTTCCTAACACTATATCTATTGCAAGACTAGTTTTCATTTACTTCGTTACAACCGACATTTTGTTATATCTGGTTTAGTTATATCAAAGTTTTAAGTGTACTACATGCTTAACATTAGGCTACAGAGTGTTTTAAGTTTCAAAAGTGCTACTAATTCCTTTTTGTCACTTCATGAACTTTTTTACTCAGTTTATTTTCAAGGTTTTGTTCACATCTTTATTTTTCACTTATGTAACTGCATGAATGTTATTTCGACAAGGTAAGTATAGATGCCTACCTACCTTACCTCTTATTTGCTTGTAATTTAGATTAAGGTTAAGCACAGTAATATATGATAAGTTTTAGAACTCATCAAAGTTTCCAGGCTTGCAGACTTAACAGGAGAAAAGAAAGGCATTTTGAAGACTGGTAATATAAACTGCAAGGTTTGACTTCACGGCAGTATAATTAGGGCTTGAAACAGTGGTTTCGCACTAAATGCTGTTATGACCAGCTTTCCAGACTGGTTATACACAGGAAATTGTGTACAGTCTGTTCATTTCAATTACTTTTATAACACGCCAGCACCTGTGCAGATACAATTACGAATGTGCACCATCCTGTTTTATAGATGTACAAAAACTCCAGACCAATCTCGTACAACTGCAATTTTTATTACCTGTATGACTGATTGAGTTGGCAGCCTGTCATCTTTTAATTTTTTAATTTTTAGGACCATTTCAGTGTAGTTTGCTCACCAGACGTGGCTATGATTGCGAGGATCTCTCCACCACGGACTTCAAATGACAGGCCCTCGAGCAGAAGCAACTTGGTGCGGGGTCCACCGCACAGCCGCTGACCCAGGCTGGAGCGGTCCAGTTCAAAAGTCAAGTCTCGAACCTGTGTTAAGAGCCGATGTTTGTCTCTCGCGACAACTTTGTCTCGCATGCCGGTTCTCTCTCATGCCAATGAATGTGCACATGCAGAAAAAGACACAAATGTTTTCATTTACACACTGTATATAATTCTATGCGTGTATGAGTTGTTCCAGTAAAGTTTAACCTAGCTAATAGTTCAACGTAAAGGAAGGGCAACAAAAACTTGTACAACATACATTTACTAGGCCTATATGGTGTACAGTCATCTGTCTTCCTTTGCCAACAGTACTATGCTTGTGCATTGGCAACTCAACTAATATTAATTAGAGAAACTAACTAGAAATGAAGGAACCATGTTGGCTGTCATTAGCTGGGACATCTCCTACGGTAAGCAAACAAGCGTTGCCCATGCATGGCTGAAAGGTCATATGACAATAATTGTTATCACGCAGGCACTTCAATGTAATATTATTTCAAGGTTAGTGTCTTGGCTAGCTAAAAGTATATTTTAGGTTGTACAGAGAGACAGCTACGACTGGGACAAAACTGAAATATACGAAAATGCAGAAAGCTTTTTATAATTAGAGCAGTAAAATATATTTCAACATTTTCTGTAATAAGCTTCAGTTCGACATTGCATCCGCTTGCTTTGTGCCTGCAGTAGCCATTGTGCTTTGCACACTTTAGTATTTTTATTGTTGCTGCCAGGTAGCCTTGAGGGTAGTGCTGTTCAACTACAGCACTGAGAGGTAGAAGGAAAAGAGTCGGTGTCTTCCGAATTGCTTTATGAGTAATAGGCAGCTGGGGAAGCTTGGTAATGCTATATAAAATACACTACATAACTGCGTCATATGTGAAAAACCTGATTGCCCAGTTGTCTGCGGCACCAAGGAAAGCATGCATGCCGTCTCATTGAATCTTGCCTGACCTATAACCTGTTTCACTTAAATAATGTGTGTTCAATTGGCAGTATCACTAGGGTTTGGTTTTCTGGTGCCGATTCCAGCTTGGAAGTCCTGTCGTCGCTGAACAGTACCATGCAGTTCAACTACCAGACTTGGCATCTTGGCGTAAAGCGAATGACTTTGGCATATGTGAAATTCCAAACCTGTGTGGTTGCCTTTTGTTGTACACATCAGCGTGATACTTTTGGTGATCAAAGTATGTCAAATCACTACTGCACGCTTGTTGTTGTTATTGTTGTCTTTATTTCAGACAAATGTATGTCTCGGATACAAGGGCATAAGGCAGATGTCCTCTGCCTGACGGGACCCAAGTACCCGAAAGCATCACTCAGAGCACGGTCAAAGAAATACAATATAACACACTAATAGTGCATGCGTAACATTGTTTTTGTACAGAGTAAATGGAGTACATACTTGTACAGTAATAAGTGTATAGTGGCTGCCTGGATTTTATGTAATGCCGAAATTGGCCCTTGTGCATTCTAACGAGTCTTTCAAGTGCAGCAGCTACTTTGCCTTTTGCATCTCTGTAGTGAAGGTCTAGAGTAGAGCAACAGCACTTCCAGGCTTCAATGCTGCCTCTTCGGCAGTGTCAGTCAAAAGTCATTGCAAGTTTACCAATAAACAAAATCATTGCAACCTATCAATGAGCTTATGCAGTAATCACAGCTGCATCGGGACACAAGGCACGGCAGGAGTGAAATCCAATAATCAATGCTTTGTTATGTTCATGGCTGTGGAGAGTCAATATATAAAATAAAGTTGAAAGGGTTGTTTCCGTTCTCTGAAAAGTTCATGCTACAAAATGGCAGGTCAACAAAGCATGTAAGTATTGGTATCGATAATCTGGTGGAACCCTCCAAGGTACCTACAAGGTACGTTCTTCCCAGCATCTACACATATTCAAAAATGGCTGAAGAGCACCGAGCACACAAACGAACCAGGTTGTGTGGTACTTCTTGGCAAGTTGGTAACCTGTGGGGGCCATTAACGCAATCTCTGCGGCTGTTTTGGAGAAATTGAGGGGGGGGGGACATTGATCATTGAGGGTGCAGGATATTACGAAGTTGCTGGGGGGTCAACTAACGAGATCGTGTTGGTGTGTTTTTAACTTGAAAAGGAAGGGATCAAGCAACCAGTTCACAGATTCGAACAAAAGTTTGGTCTTATGGGGTCTGATAAGGGCGTTAACTTTTTGGACTATTTTCCACGTGAGGTGAGGTGAAGCCAATCCACCGGGAGATTTTCCAGCTCCGAAGTGGTGTGTTAGTGGCTGTGATCACGCAACTCCCGCAAAGTCTCCTGCCGGAAACTCAAAAAAAAAAAGTTTGTTTGAATGAAGATACCGTGCTCATTATCGCATAGATTAGTCACGGCGAGGCCATCAACATACACCTTGTATATTCACTGCGCAAGGTGGATCTAGTTCTGCTTGTAATCGGCACCACTCGGTGGTCGTTTTATGAAGGCTATATATAGCAGATAGTAAATACTCTCTCTACTTTGAGCCTACTGTGAGCCTAAGCCCGACGCGGTTTTGCCATGTCAATGCTCAAAGAAAAGAGGTAAAAATGATATATCCTTGCTATCGGCTATATATACCCCTAATAAAACGACTTCCGAGTGGTGCCGGTTTCAAGCAGAACTGGATCCACCATGCGCACTCAATATACAAAGCGGACGTTCATGACCTCACCGTAATTAATACATGCGATAATGAGCACAGTATTTTTTAATGAAGAACTTAATGGGCCCGATGACGCTGCCTGATGTGCCCACGATGGGGCGCCCACACTGTTAATACCCTTGTCAAGAGTAGACGCAGCTAGAGAACTTCGTCACATCGCGCATAATGCCACGCTTGCGCACTGGAATTCTCCACTTAACTCCAATCGTCGCCCTAAGAATCTTAAGTCATTACTCCAGAAACAACTGCCATCCAAGATTTCTCGACGTGACGCTACAATGCTGTGCCGGCTGTGGACTGGGGCAGCGTTTACCAAGTCATTCAGCCATCGCATCGCATTGGCATGGCGGATTCATCCATGTGTGAAAGCTGCAACTGTATAGAGACTATTGAACATCTCTTGTGCCACTGTGCCCAATTTGATGAAGATCGCCGGACTCGCCAGTGTGCCTTGAATGGACTCGATGACCGGCCATTTAATGAAGCAAAGATCTTTGGCACCTGGTCGCGCAGCACATCAGCACAGAAAGCCACACGAGCTCTCCTGAGATACTTGACAGAAACTTCATTGAGGGACCGACTGTGAAACTTAGCATTGTGTGCGTGATGTGACATGTGTCTATCCTTCTCTCTTTTTTACTCCCCCTCCACATGTGTGGGGTAGCAAACTGGACGCATAGTCTAGTTAACCTCCCTACTTTTCCTACATTATTTCTCTCTCTCTGCTCTCTCTCTCAATGGGCCCAATTTCCCGGTGTTTCTGGCCGGGCGAGTACACGTGAGTGCGGTTTTACGGCCATAAACACCCTGCTTCCAAGCTGGAAATTCTCCCAGTGAGTTGGCTTCACCTCACCGCACGTGTAAAACAAGTCGGAAAAAGTTGAGGCTGTTATCGGCTCGAATAAGGCCAAACAATACATACCATATGAGCGTAAGGCATGTTTAAGTTTCCCGCTTTTACACGTTGCAAGTGGTTGGACCATGGAAAAATGTTTTGCCTGGTTTTTGACACCTTTGGACAAACGCTGAACGAGATAGCATGACGCATTTTAAATTTCCCGCTATGTGTCGCATTATGAGTGTGATGTCGGTAAAATTCAAGAGACTTTAACCAGACAAGCCCTTGACTCCATTAACCCAAGGTGTGACGTCAGACAAAAGTTCGGTCTTATCAGGACTGATGGGGACCTCAACCTTCTCGACTTCTTCCTGAGGAATTCCCACCTTGGAAGCGGGTTGTTCATTGCTGCGATCACGCACTCGCGCGGACTCATTCTGCCAGGAACACCAGAAAAGATGGCACATATATAAGTGTGTTTCATTAATGATACTGTGCTCATTATCGCATAGATACTTGCGGTTAGGCATATTCTTTGCGTAAGGTTCGTTTATAATGGCTTAAAACCGGCATCACGCGGAGGTCGTTTTACGAAGGCTATATACAGCCGATCGCGAGTGCATTCTTTTATCTCTTTTCATTTTGAGCAATAAAAGTGGCAAAACCGCCTTAGGTTTAGGCTGAAGGGACAAAAGAGCAAAAAGATTATACTTGTAATTGGGTATATGTAAATATAGCCCTCATAAAACGACCTCCGAGTGGCGCCGGTTTTCAGCCATTGTACAGCAACGCTTACGCAAAATATATACATGATGTACGTTATTGGTCTGACCGTAAGTAATTTATGCGATAACGACCAGAGTATCTTTATTGACACGCACCTCTATGTGCCCTCTTTCCTGGTGTTTCTGGCAGCATGAGTACACGTGAGTGGGTGATCGCAGCCATAAACACCCCGTTTCCAAGGTGGGAATTGCACCGGTAAGTTGCCTTCACCTCATCGCACATTCAAAACAAGTCGAAAAAGTTGAGGCCCTTATTAGCCCTGATAAGACCAAACGTAGCACCCTGCACCGATGCAGTTAAAAACGTGTTTGGTTCGTCTAACTCTTGGTATCATTTTTAAATTTCCTGCTTCTGTACCCATAATGCAGCACATTGCAAATGGTTGGCTTCTCAATACGGACCGCGGGAAAAATTTTTTTGCCCGCTTTTGACACATTTGAACTAAAAAGTCACAGCTTTGCCGCAAACGCGAAGAAGTGAACGCGGTAGCAACGAATTGGAAGGTCACACGCGCAGAATGCAAGCAGATCCAAATGTGCCCCACGTTTCTCAGGCATGCACAAATGACGCACGAAACGTACTCGCAGGTACAGATGAACGTGAATAAGCATCTCGGTCGTTACTTCGCTGTGTCTGAAAAGCGCACCCTTTTCACAAACGAAGGCTGTGAAACGACTGCAGAAACCTTTGGGCGCCCGCTACAACAGAATCATTCCTGCGAAACCCAAAGGCTAGCCAAGACGTACGATTCTCCCCATTTAAAAATAAGGGCGCGCCATCAAGCGTGCACCCCCTTATTATCTACGCGCGCCAAACAAAGTACGCGTGAGAGATGAAAGCCGCCACGCGTTCACTGCGCCATCTTGCTGATAATGCTGAAAACATAATAGTCTCCCCCCCCCCCCCCCACATGCCCGCCAACAGCGGTAAATGGTAGATATGAATAGCATGCCGTTTCAACGTTGACGGAGGTGTTCTTCGGTGGCTCAGTGGTTAACGCCTCCTATTCACGACGTGGAAGTCCCACGTTCGGTTCTGCGCACCGGAGTATTCTTATGCATGGTGCAGTGGCGGAAAATTTAAAAGATGTTGGGAGCAGTCAATAGCATACGAAAGCTGTGACGTCAGAAAATGTTTGGCCTTATCGGGGCTGATAAGGGCCTCAACTTTTTCGACTTGTTTTCAACGTCCGACGAGGTGAAGCCAAACTAACGGGGGAATTATCACCTTGAAAGTGGGTGTTGTATATTGCGTCACCCACGGTGAGCTGTTGAACGAAAGCGAAGACGATCGCTCCCATGGGAAGCAGAAGAGTACAGTAGGTTGTTTTTATGGCAACGACAATAGCTTAAAACCGGCACTACCCGGAGGTCACTCTATGAGGGCTGATAATCGGAGGTCACTTATCGGGGCTGATAATCGGGGCTGATCGAGCATCAACTCGATTTATCGGGACTGATAAGAGCATCAACTTTTCCGACGTGATTTTCATGTTCATTGCGGACTTGGTGGGATATATACCAAATAAGTGTAAGGTATTTTTAAATTTCGTGCCACCGCACCCATAATGCAACACACTGCAAGTGGTTGGCTTCCCCTAAATACAGACAGTGGGAAAATGTTTTGCCAGTTTCTGACACGATTTGGACGAGAAATGACCTAGATAGTACAGTGCAGTTTAAATTTCCTGCTGCTATGTCCGCTCTGTGGAAATTCACAGATGAAATTTCATCATAATAAAGGCCATGTAGAGGTTTATTTGTTTAAAGGTGCTGTGCTCATAATCGCATGCTATAAAATAGCTAGGCCACTAACATATTCCTTGTACATTCTTTGCGTAAGCTTGCTATTTAATGGCTTGAAACCGGCACTACTTAGAGGTCGCTTTATGAGGGCTCTATATATATACGATCGGAATTATAAACTTTTTATTACTTTTCACTTCAAGCTAAAAAAGGTGCTAAAAACGCGTTAGGCTTAGCGCTGGAGGTCAAACGAGTAAAAAGTTATACTTGCTTTCGGCTATATATACCCCTGCCTAAGCGACCTCCAAGCAGCTCCGGTTCTGTTATTCGTGGACGCACGTTTTACACAGGAAGGACACAGGGTGTTCCTCAACGGCCTTGGCGTAGCTTATCTACGCGACAACGAGTGCAGTACCTTTACACAAACTTTCACGCACACTAACATACATAAAAGGGTAATTGAAGCTTTCCTCCAGTACTCCTCCCCTTTCCATCCCTTAAAAATACTCTGGCCGCGCCCCATCGGTTCAATTAGCCACTGCGGTGAAAGTCGGTAAAGTTCTTCGCGGATGAGCACGAGGGTGCGTGTTCATAAAGTTTCCTAGAATTAGCTAGAAGAAACGCTGGCACTGAAATCATTCACCAAATATGGGAATCATGGGTACTACACGATTTGCCTAGTCTTCGTGCTTCCGGGCTTCGAACGAACTAGTAGATTTATTTATTGTTGTATATTCTGGATTTTGTTTCAAAAAAAAAAGAACCAGCGGTTTTGAACTTCTTGACCCGATTTGAATAGGTGAACTTAAAAGGTTAAGGAGGTGAAGCACGTAACTGCTGAACATAAGCTGCATTTTGTTTCGGGACAAACCAGTTCCAAGTCACGCGAAGCCAAACGGAGCCAGAAGTATGAAGAGTAGGCAAATGTACGTACTACCCATCATTCCCATGCTCGCAGAAGCACCATGCATTGCAGCACCTGTAGGCACCAGCACCAGAGTTCCCTCTCATGTATTTATAGGAAACTCTATGTGCGTGTCCGCTTGCCAGCCATGGTGGGTGCATTTAGACGGGGACGAAATGTGGATTCTGCTTTAGTACCTATAAACCCCACCCAGAAAAGGCACTATTAAATGTAGCACAAAAAAAAAAAAACCATGGACACAGAAAAGGAGCACACACGCACACCGAAGAAACGTTCTTTATCTACAGGTACGGCGATGAATACGTCGCGAGGCCAATGATGCACCCTATCAAGGCAGATTACCTCATTGCTAGCCACTAAGACACTTCATTTTTTTTTCATTACGTGTATAGCTCCTTGAGTATATATGAGTGTGTCTTAATAAATTTTCAGTTCATATTCAGCGCTGCGTATGTGTGCACCTTTTTTGTGTCCCCGATTTCTTTTTTGCGCTACATTTAATGGTGATATCTTACTAACTATCCCAGCATAACACCCTACTGAAAAACAGGCGTGAGGGTTGCCCTCGCGCCTCGCAAATCAATGTTCGACTTATGGGCATCGTCATCTTGGACTGATAAGCGTTTGTTTATTAAATTTACCATGTCACAATATTGTCCCGATGATTCAATATGAAATATGAAAGGATAGCGGTCTTGAAACGTTGAATATGCCGGCAAAGCGATTTCGTGCGTGTGACCTCACCCTATCACTGTTCGTTTATTTGATATGAATACTAAACTGCAACGTTAGCAGTCCAAGATGGCGGCGCTTGAGCGCGTTCAGAAAATGGTGTATACATAAAACATGTCTAGATAGATGATCGCCGTTGCCTTACCTGCAAGTGCGGATGCTTGACCAGTGACACGTCCGTCTCGCCGCCGGGGAGGCTGGAGTAGAGCGAGTCACGCGGGAACAGCGAGGACCGGATGAGCCCCTGCTTCTGTGAGGTCGCCCTGGAGCCCATGGAGACGTGGGAGCCGGCAACGCTGCGACGGTCTCCCGCCATACGCGAGTCGGCGCGGCTCGGAGGACCCTTGGAAAAAAACGATCATCATCATCATCGTAATTGTGTCCACGTATCCAAAGCCAAATAGAAGTCTCTCCAACGATACAGCATCATCATCATCATCATGAAGCACAGGACATTTTGCTATGTCGCTTGCCAATGGCACTGAACGTTACTGCCTTGTCATCAGCTCGAGTACTCCCACTAGAGAGCGAATGACCCTCTAACGGCTCCTCAATCGGCCTGGTCTTGTGCTAGCTGCAACCGCGTAATATTCCTATATAACCTTCTTAATCTCATCTGCGCCATCGGCCATACCATGCTAAATGCGCTGGTTAACGTCCGATCATCGAAGCTAAGTAGTATTGGATCGGTCAGTGCTTGAGAGGGAGACCACCTGGGAAAACTAAGTGCTGATGGAATTATCTTTTTGCTTTTGGCTAAGGTGCTTTTGGCTAAGTGGCTAAGGTACTCGGCTGCTGACCCGCAGGTCCCGGGATCGAATTTTCGCTGCGGTGGCTGCGTTTCCGATAGAGGTGAAAATGCTGTAGGACCGTGAGCGGAGCTTTGGGTGCACGTTAAAGAACCCGAGGTGGTCGAAATTTCCAGAACACTCCACTACGGCGTCTCTCAACGTCATATGGTAGTTTTGGGGCGTTAAACTCCACATATCAAATCGATCTCATATGCCCACCTAACTTTGTTTCCCTCTCGCGCGTACGCCTTGTCTTGGAGTCCAGTCAGTTTACCTTGCCATAGCTCTGCAAGGCCTGCTCACTTGCTCCATGATATGCGAGAAAATACGGGGTATTTAATTTTTTTTATTTAGGCCTAATGACATTGGTTCAGTGAGAACAAAGGCGGTGCTTTCCCGGGCAGTTGAATCATCAAGCGTGGCTGCCTTTCGTAATTCTTTTCTCTGTGAGCTGAGACTTTGCCTCTGGTTTACCAACAGCCCTGTCCTAAGATGTCATTTTTGAGGCGCTCAGATTTTTCTCCAAGCCCCGCTGTGGTCGTCTAGTGGCTAAGGTACTCGGCTGCTGATCCGCAGGTCGCCGGATAAAATCCCAGCTGCATTTCCGGAGGTGGAAATGTTGTGAGCCCGTTTACTCAGATTTGGGTGCACGTTAAAGAACCCCAAGTGGACAAAATTTGCGGAGCCCTCCACTACGGCGTCTCTTATAATCATATGGTGGTTTTGCGACGTTAAACCCTGCATATCAATCAATCAGATTCCTCTCCAAAATTCCGGTAAAGCCGTACAAATCTAGTGAACCCACGAACCTTGTGTGTAGATCCCGGTGGCGCGGCAGCAGCCGTGGTGGACGCTGTGCTGGGCCTGGGTATGACGTCCCAGCGGCGTTCGTCCTCGCCCGCTATAAGGTCCGCCTCACTGTTCGCCTTGAGCCGGTGGTTGTGCTTGCGGTGCTTCTCGTACGCCGCTATCGCCGAGGCCACGCCCGACGGCTCGGTGCTCACCAGGTCGTGGCTGCGGAAGTCTGGGTCACTGCGGGCCCTCTTCGGGTTGGCTAACCGGCCGTTCAGCTGGTTATGGTCGTCGTCGCTCGAGTCGTAGCCGCTCGAGTTCTCGCGGCCCTGCATCGGCTGCGTGGTGACCACGCCCGAAGGTCGCTCGCTGATGCCCAGACACGAGCTTGGGTGGGGAGGCAGCACTCGCGGTAGGCCAAACCTATTTTCGTGCATCAAGACGAAAAAATATTAAGAAATATATATCGCCAATAACGTGTATACCTGTCTTTCACTCAGTCCTCTATGATTCGCTAACGTGAATTTTCTCGCAAGGAATTACATAGACGTGAGCAGGGTATCCCATTGAGGGTCAAAGTTTCATCACAACACCCCTCCCTGCTTGTTGGTTTTGTAAAGGATGACAAACAGGCTTCTTAAAGGATGACAAAATAAGCACAGAGTGATGACGTGCTCCTCACAGTGTCCTGCCTTTTGTCTCTGTCTTTCCGGGAGCAAAGATGAGAAGTAAGCAGTTCCTGGAATGCGACACGAGGGGCCTTGGTCGCCGTTATTGCCAAAAAACTGAGTGGCCATAACATTCCTATTAAAACAATGACGGTACAAGTTCGACTGAGTCCGACTAGTATGGGGCAGACTTTGCTCCCCTTAGGTGATTAGAAAGGCCCACCGCCCCCTTTCTTAGCGCATGCCTGTTTAAGTAACATTACGAAAGCTACATAGATCAATGTATACTCACATACTCATGACCCCGAAACATGCCAATGTTCTCAGGCTCACTCGGGCTCAAACTTTCCAGTGTTCCCTACAGACAGTATTACTCAGGCTCCAGTCTTCCGAAATTCTACCTGGAAACTTGTATTCAGCTCAGTTTACTCGCAAGTAGTCCATGCACTTTGGAATGGTAACCCGAGTTAATTGCTAGGTATCCATTTAGTGATCGTGCAGCGCTCGCTTACTGAACATGGGGCACTATTTCTACAGAAATGTACAGACCGACTACAGACACGCGTCAGAGAGATCAATGCGCAAATTTATGCTCAACCATGCTGAAACTCACGTGTCGTTTCGAATCTGAGGGAGCCCAAGCATGGCCACTCGTGGCTTGAAAGTGCGTTTGGCTACCTATGCAACGTACCTGAGGTATGTGTTGACGTTGACGCCAAGCTCAGAGCTGCGCTCCTTCGGGCCATACTTAGGGTGGTTCAGGATGGTGTGCACGGTGGATTCGCGCAGCTGGAAGTTGCCGAACGGTGGCTGCGACTTCTCGGACGTCCCGAGCGCCGAGTCGGTGAAGTCGGAGTTGAGGTTCTGCCTGCACAAATGCAGTTGAAGTGGAAGGAAGAGTAGCTACGATTAACTGAGAGAAAGAAATGCAGTCATTCCAGTCTGCTACGATAGGTGGACGAGAATAAGGAAACAAAAAGGGCTCTGAGTGAAATACATTGATGTACTCTACCAGGTGTCATCATTAGCATCATCTGCAGCCTGATGATATTCTAAGAAGAAGATGAAGAGCAGTACTGAGGTTGCTTTTTTTAAAGAAAAGTAACTGCTTTGCCTCACCCATTTCTCCCTTTTGGATGTAACTGCGAGGAAATGAACTGGTCCTCCCCCGTGCGGTTACTCCTTCCCCATACTTCTTAAAGGTGTAAACTACTTCGCACGCTTAACGGTGCTTTTCGTGTATATAACCCCTTATTATAAGGGTGTTTTGGCAACCAAAAAACCCTTATCGTACGGTGTTAGCTACAGACATGGCAAAGCACCTTTAAGGGTGCGAACTGGTTTACAGAGCACTTACTGCAGGGCAAAAGTCTCTTTCATGTTTCTTCAATTAGCCCAGTCCCGCACTCACTATGGCGATGTTGTTCCCACAAGCTTAATACAATGTAAACTACCTCTAACATTCACGAAAGCTTATACCACGTTAATCAGAATTACTGACAGTGCGGCGTGCGATGTTTGCGGCACAGACGAAAATATCGAACACCTGCTGTGTCATTGTCCTCGATTTGCCTCAGAGAGACAAGTACTTGCCAACGCAATGCGGCGACTGGATGATCGGCCTCTTTCTGTGCAGGTGCTATTACAGCAACGTACACATGCCTCGACAGCCCACAAGGCAGTGAAAGCCCTGCTGCGTTTCCTGAGAAAGACAGGCTTGTGTGAACGCCTCTGACATGCGGTAGAGTTCTACACGCTGCAGTGAAATTACTGTCAGTCTCTCCCCCACCCCCTTTTTCCCTCTCTTCCCTCTTTCTCGTCTTTCTTGTCCCCTTCCTTTATCCCCCAGTGTAGGGTAGCCAACCGGATGTCTTTCTGGTTAACCTCCCTGCCTTCTCCCTTTTTGTTGCTTCCTCCTCCTCCCACCTCTAACATTCCAAATAAAGCAGAAGTTAAGGGTGAACAGAAACTTGGAGAAATTACAAATCATTATGGCAAACGCGACATGACTGGAGGCGATGTTCCAATAAGCAGTCTTATCCTCTTCAAGACTGCAACTGTTATTACCTTCAAAAAAAAAAAAAAAACCTTGTCCGAACGATGGCTCCGGCCACACTCTGTATGGAAGAATTTTTCATCTCTAACTTCCTGCCTTCCTCTGGTACGCCTCTCATCTGGACACTATAGGCGTGTCAGTCGTCCCCGAGTCTCCCGCTTTACGATGACTCAACGGTTAAACAAACTCGCAGGACAGGCGGTCTCTAGGTATCTTGAGCGCTAATATTTGGATGAACTGCCGAATGACCGGAACTCGTCGTACTGTCAACAGCAAAAGCTTGCGGGATGTGCAGCGCGTTGCGAAGCGGCGGAACAGTGAATTGCCGCGCCATCTAGAGCGCCGCAGTGTGGTGTCTAGACTAGCGTACGAGGCATCGGCGATTGGGAACGGTGCGTTTAGACAACGCGGCGCTGCTGGAATCCCAGAAGCTATGGCCGATAACCTCAACACCATGGTGCACGTCACGGTAGTCGGCGCAGCAATGCGGTTTTCCGCCGCTCCGCCACGAGCTGCACATCCCACAAACTTTTGCTGTTCACAGTATACGTAAGTCAGTATAGGTGGGAAGCGCGATCTTGTGCCCCTTTGTGACGCCATGCTATATGTGCGAACGGCAGCATCCCGGAGCTTTCCACTACGTCGCCTCTCGTAATCATATTGTCACGTGCTTGCTCAAGAAAGACGATGGCAGTTGTGCATGCGCCACGAAGGACTACGAAATGGACGAAGAAGAAGAGCTCGCTTGCACGTTCTAATTAAAAAGATCGACCTGCTTCTGGTGTCTCAATCTCTACGGCAAGACCTCTGTTTTGACGTCGTGACAATATGATAGTGTTTTGATGCAAACTTCCAACAACAATTGTTTTATTACCTGTAGATGCTCCACGCGTGCAGGTCCTCAGAGGTCTTGTACGTCCTGGCGGTGGCCGGCTCGGAGAGCGTGGACGGCGGCACCGAGTAGCGGCGTTCGTCGCCTCCGTTCAGGTCCCACATGCTGCTGGACCACGAGGACTGGCTTGTCTCCGTGTAATCGCGCGGGGGTTCGGGAACCTGCTCGAGGAGGCCTTGCTGTAGCAGCGGGAACGGGTCGTCGTTTCCTGTGCCGTTCTCCTACAAGGAAACGAGTGCAAAGAGAAACAGATTCAGCAGTATCACTAAAACTTGCTTAATCACATACAGTTTAGTACGACAGAAACTTAGCTGCTCAATGAGAAAGAGAGAGAGAGAAAAAAAAGGGAGGGGGGGAGTCAAACTTTCTCAGGCCGTTGCGCCCAGCCAATGAGCGGCAGCTCGTTATCGGGATCTCGCCCCGACGCACGCTGGGTCGAGCGTGCGCGCGGGAGGGAGGGGAGAATCCCTCTCCCCTTCTCTTGCTCCCCTTGATAAGAAAGCGAAGAATAAAGATAACGCGTCATGTTCCCGCGCTGTTCGCTCTTCGAATTTTACATATATCTGTACACAATCATGTTGCGGGCAGCGAGGAGGCAGTGTTCGTGAAACTGATGAATCATGCTTGCAGCAGCACTCAGACACCGTATCCGTGTGTCTATTTCTTGCTCACGCGGTGATGAATATTGCGCGTTTATCTTGCTATGTACGGTGCCAGTTTTTTTATAAAAGGGAACACGTGGAGCGCGTGGCCTGCGTTCTCAGCGTGTTCAAGCGGGAGAGAAAGCAACCACGGCCTCTTTTCGCGTCCTCTCCAGGCTAGAAAAACAAGCAGTCACTGGTGATACTGATATGAAACCAGCGGCAAGACTGTAACCCCCCTCCTTTTCAAAACAATTACGCAAGAGTCCGGTAATCGCCTTGAAGAGTGAGGAGGTTCCCATCCTGCCTCTGGTTTCGTATCACCAATGACTGCTTATTTTGCTCGCCTCAAGATGACGCGAAAAGAGGCCGTGGTAGCTCTTGCTCCCGCTTGAAGGCGCTACCAGCAGCCGCCGGAGCGCGCATGCCACGCGCTTCTGTGTCCCCTTCGATAAAAAAAAAGTCACAGCTTTGCCGCACAGGCGAAGCAATGAACGCGATAGCAACAAATTGGGAGGGCACGAGCAGAATAGAAAGCAGATCGAAACGTGCCCCACGTTTCTCAAGCACAAATGACGCACGAAACGTACTCACAGGTACAGATGCACGCGAATAATCGTCACTTCGCTAAAAAGCACGCACTTTTTGCAAACCGAGACTGCAATGATTGCAGTGACCTTTGTGCGCCTGGTAACTACAGCAGAATCGTTCCAGGTCCCCAGTTCCATGTAAAGCCAGCCAAGACCTACGATCCTCCCCTCCTCCACACCGCGAGATAAGGGCGCGCGAGGTAGCATCGCTCCCCTTCTCTAAGCGGGCACAGTACTCTAACCCCTATATTATAGAACGTCCCTTCACTCAACGCTTCACCTTCACCTGAGAAAGCCGTTGGGAGCGCCGTCTCTAGGCACGGCAAGTCACTGCATATCAGCGATAATCTGCTGCGATTCTTGAGTACCACAGTGTCATTTTGGGCCGAGCTGTGGCGCAGTATTCAACTCTGTCAAGTGAAGGGTGAGAGTTGAGTCGAGGAGCGTTTGTGCATGTGCCACGAAGGACTACGAAATGGACGAAGAAGAAGAGCTCGCTTGCGCGTTCTAATTAAAAAGATCGACCTGCTTCTGGTGTCTCAATCTCTACGGCAAGACCTCTGTTTTGACGTCGTGACAATATGATAGTGTTTTGATGCAAACTTCCAACAACAATTGTTATATTACCTGTAGATGCTCCACGCGTGCAGGTCCTCAGAGGTCTTGTACGTCCTGGCGGTGGCCGGCTCGGAGAGCGTGGACGGCGGCACCGAGTAGCGGCGTTCGTCGCCTCCGTTCAGGTCCCACATGCTGCAGGACCACGAGGACTGGCTTGTCTCCGTGTAATCGCGCGGGGGTTCGGGAACAGCCCCCTGCTCGAGGAGGCCCTGCTGTAGCAGCGGGAACGGGTCGTTGTTGCCTGTGCCGTTCTCCTACAAGGAAACGAGTGCGTAGAGAAACATATTCAGCGGTATCACTAAAACTTGCTCAATCACATACAGTTTAGTACGACAGAAACTTGGCTGCTCAACGAGAAAGAGAGAGAGAAAAAAAAGGGGGGGGGGAGTCAAACGTTCCCAGGCCGTTGCGCCCAGCCAATGAGCGGCAGCTCGTTATCGGGATCTCGCCCCGACGCACGCTGGTTCGAGCATGCGCGGGAGGGAGGGGAGAATCCCTCTCCCCTTCTTTTGTTCCCCTTGATAAGAAAGCGAAGAATAAAGATGACGCGTCATGTTCCCGCGCTGTTCGCTCTTCGAATTTTACATATATCTGTACACAATCATGTTGCGGGCAGCGAGGAGGCAGGTGTTCGTGAAACTGATGCATCATGCTTGCAGCAGCACTCAGACACCGTATCCGTGTGTCTATTTCTTGCTCACGCAGTGATGAATATTGCGCGTTTATCTTGCTATGTACGGTGCCAGTTTTTTTTATATAAGGGAACACGTGGGTCGCGTGGCCTGCGTTCTCCAGCGGCTCCTGGCAGCGCGATCAAGCGGGAGAGAAAGCAACCACGGCCTCTTTTCGCGTCCTCTCGAGGCTAGAAAAACAAGCAGTCACTGGTGATACTGATATGAAACCAGCGGCAAGACTGTAACCCCTTTCCTTTTCAAGACAATCACGCAAGAGTCCGATAATCGCCTTGAAGGGTGAGGAGGTTCCAATCTTGCCTCTGGTTTCGTATCACCAATGACTGCTTATTTTGCTCGCCTCAAGATGACGCGAAAAGAGGCCGTGGTAGCTCTTGCTTCCGCTTGAAGGCGCTGCCAGCAGCCGCCGGAGCGCGCATGCCACGCGCTCCCGTGTTCCCTTCGATAAAAAAACAAAAAAAGTCACAGCTTTGCCGCACAGGCGAAGCAATGAACGCGATAGCAACAAATTGGGAGCGCCCGCGCAATGTAGAAAGCAGATCGAAACGTGCCCCACGTTTCTCAAGCACAAATGACGCGCGAAGCGTACTCACAGGTACACATGTACGCGAATAAGCGTCACTTCGCTAAAAAGCGCGCGCTTTTCGCAAACGGAGACTGCAACGATTCTAGTGACCTTCGTGCGCCTGGTAATTACAGCAGAATCGTTCCAGGTTACGTGTTCAATGTAAAGCCCGAGGCCAGCCAAAACCTACGATCCCCCCTCCTCCTCACCGCGAGATAAGGGCGCGCGAGGTAGCATCGCTCCCCTCCTCTAAGCGGGCACAGTACTCTAACCCCTATATTCTAGAACGTCCCTTCACTCAACGCTTCACATTCACTTGAGAAAGCCGATGGATGGATGGATATGGCTGTACCCTTTAGATCGGGCGGTGGCTAGCGCCACCAAGCCGTAATACTTAATGAACCCAAAACTATATTTATTTATTTTTTCCTTAAAAAGTGAGTTTGAGGATTCGTACTTTGCAGTGAAGAGTTTAATTTTCACTCGTGCCTTGACTTTAGCCACCAATCAGATAACCTCTTTCTAGTTAAGTCTACTTGCTTAAGGTCTATTTTGCCCTCCCGGTCCCTAAACCCCAGTGCTTTGAAAAACTCTGCGCCATCATCCTGAACTATAGGGTGAAGCCCTTTACAGAACATTATCAAGTGTTCGGCAGTTTCTTCTTCCTCTCCACACGCACTGCATACTGTGTCTACCCTTCGTATTGGCCCGATATGTCCTGGTTCGCAGTACTCCCGTCCTGGCCTCAAACAGTAGAGAACTACCCCGAGTATTATCATAGATCCTTTCCTTGGCAATTTCCTGCTTAAAAGTTCGATAGATCTCTAGTGCGGACTTCTTAATCATGCCCATTTTCCACATGCCAGTCTCCGTTTACTTCACTTTCTTCTTAAACGATAGTTCTTTTTGGTTTGGCCACCTGCTGTTTTCTAAGTATTTACCAGTCAATTTCCTGGTTCGCTTCCTCCATTTTGTATCGACATTCTTCTTGTACAAGTAGCTGAAAACCTTCCTAGCCCAACGCTCCTCCTTCATTTCTCTCAATCGCTTCTCAAATTTTATCTTGCTGCTAGCTTCCCTGCCCTCAAATAATGTCCATCTCATGTCACCTTGTACTCCCTGATTTGGTGTATTCCCGTGAGCTCCTAAAGCAAGCCTACCTATTTCACGTTGCTTAATTTCTAATCTTGCTTGAACTTCTGATCTCATGCACAAGACCGCATTGCCGAACGTCAGCCCAGGAACCATGACCCCTTTCCATATTTTTCTCACAACATCATACCTATTGTAGTTTCACAGTGCCCTATTTTTCATCACTGCTGCATTCCTGTTACCTTTAGTCGTCACGTATATTTCGTGTTCCCTCAGGTACTCGGTCCCATTGCTTATCCATACGCCCAGATATTTGTATTTATCTGTTATCTCTAGCGTGACGTCCTGTATCCTAAGCTCACTACCTTCGTTGTCATTGAAAATCATGACTGCTGATTTTTCCTTACTGAATCTAAAATCTAACCCATCTCCCTCATTACCGCAGATGTCCATCAATCTCTGCAAATCTTCCTTGTTGTTGGCCATTAGCACTATATCATCTGCGTACATTCATGCGGGACAGAAGAGACAACTAAACATGTCTTGTGCAGGTGCGCTCGCTATGAGATGAAGCGATGCCCCCTCTGGATGCTTCTAGACCAAAAGGACTCAAGCGAATTTTCTGCAGACAAGATAGGACCATGGACACGCGTCTCGAAAGCATGGAATTCAATGAAGTCGCAGTTTAAAAAAGTACTTAGACTCAACACATCTGTGCGACTGCCTAGATACTTCATTTGCTTCCTGAAGTGTGCGTGTGATTGTGCCCATCCATCCATCCATCCATCCATCCATCCATCCATCCATCCATCCATCCATCCATCCATCCATCCATCCATCCATCAATCCGTCCGTCCGTCCGTCCGTCCGTCCGTCCGTCCGTCCATCTATCTATCTATCTATCTATCTATCTATCTATCTATCTATCTATCTATCTATCTATCTATCTATCTATCTATCTATCTATCTATTATCTATCTATCTATCTATCTATCTATCTATCTACTATCTATCTATCTATCTATCTATCTATCTATCTATCTATCTATCTATCTATCTATCTATCTATCTATCTATCTATCTATCTATCTATCTATCTCTATCTATCTATCTATCTATCTATCTATCTACTATCTATCTATCTATCTATCTATCCCTCTCTCTCTTTTTCTTCCGTATCTCCTTTCGTCCCACTATGGCCTCTCCAGTTCA